CGCGCCGGGCGGCGGGGGTGGGATTCCCCTCCGCCCCGGTTCTTCTCGCTGTTTCAAATCCTGGCGGTCATGCCTGGGTCCCAGCCCCCCCGGGATTCACACGATGTGCAGCGGGTGTGCGGTAAAGTCGTGTTGAATAGGGAATACTGCCCGTGGCCGCCACCTCCCCGTGGCCGCTCCAGAATCTCACGTGGGCGGGGCTGAGCTTAGGCCTGCGGGTGGAAGGAGGGTCTGGGAGCTGCCCGAGCTTAGCAAGTGCACTGTAGAGTGTATGATCTGGGTGCGAGTCTTCATTTCCCAAGCCAGCCTTTAGTATCATCACTGCCCCCCCCCCCTTATAAAATGACTACATTCCAGAATTCCAATCGAGAGGCAGTGTTCTGGTTAAGAGCCTGGGCTTTGGTGTGAAGACCTGAGTCTGTTCTGCACTGGCCAGTTTCCTATCCACTCTGACCCTCTTTCATCTTTAAAATGGAAATAATAATCAATGCGTATCTCCTCGGACTTGCTCTTAACTCATGAATAGTTAGGTCCCATTACAAAGAGCTGGGATCGATGATTGTAGTTGTTACAAGCATGCTGGGAAGAAAGAGGGGACAGAAACTTGGGGTCATGAGAAGAGAGGGCTGAGGGACACAGGCTCTGCGTCCGAGGCTGTTGAAGGAGCTGAGACCGGGAGTTCCCTCCCGGGGAACTGGGCAGAGGGACTGAGGAGGGAAGGACAGGTAGCAGCAAGGGCGTCCCGGGTGGGAGAGTTGAGAGAGGAGCCTCTCTCTGGCCCATCTCCTTGGTTAAGAAGAAAGGAGCTGCTCATGGCAGCTGGAGGGAGGGAGTCAGGATGGCAGGTGGGACTTCCCACCGCTGGCGGGGGGAGCAGAAGTGTGCTGCGGCGCTTGCAGAGTCCCTGGTGCATGGGGTCCCGGCTACCTTTGCAGTGATCTCTGCCTCTTGATCACAGTTCAAAGAGGAAATCTCGCGGAGGTTTAAGGCTCAGCAGGATCAGCTGGTCCTGATCTTCGCAGGCAAGATCCTCAAGGATGGGGACACGCTGAACCAGCATGGAATCAAGGATGGGCTGACCGTCCATCTGGTCATCAAGACCCCGCAGAAGTGAGTTCCGGAGAGGAGCGGGTCCAGCTTGTGACTGGACCACTTTTCCCTATCCGATACTCTCTCGCCCACCCATGCCTAGAGCAGTGGTTCTTAACCTTCTGGCCCTTTAAATACAGTTCCTCATGTGGTGACCCACCCATAAAATTATTTTCATTGCTACTTCATAACTGTCATGTTGCTACTGTTATGGATCGTCATGTAAATATCTGATATGCAGGATGGTCTTAGGCGACCCCTGTGAAAGGGTCGTTGGACCGCCAAAGGGGTCGCAACCCACAGGTTGAGAACCGCTGGCCTAGAGGGTCTATGCCTAGAGGACCTATCCAGTGATGGCGGACCTTTTGAGCTTGGCACAAAGATGTATATTTTTGATATTTATTTCATATATTTAAATGCCATTTAACAAAGAAAAATCAACCAAAAAAAATGAGTTTGTGTGTCACCTCTGGCACACGTGTCATAGGTTCGCCATCACTGATCCTATACCAAGACCAGGAGAGTGACTCTTGAATGGGTTGGGTTGCCGGGCAGGCTTATGGGCTCCCCTGCAGGGGAACGGATCCTGACTTACATCTCCCAGAATGCCCTGGAGACAGATGATCCTAGCTCCTCCTTCCCTATCTGACTGACTGACTACCCGCTAGCATCACCCCACCCCAGCTTTAGTGTTGCTTAGGATGCAGCCTGGGTTGGGGCAGTAGCTGCACACCAAACACCGAGACAGTTGTCTTCCCTCTTCTTGTGTTCACGTAAACTAAGACTTTCTTCCTCTGTCCTCAGGGCTCAAGATCCAGCTGCTGCCACTGCTTCTTCCCCCTCTACTCCAGAGCCTGCCTCAGCGCCCTCCACCACGCCTGCTTCACCTGCCACCCCTGCCCAGCCCTCCACCTCTGGCAGTGCCACGTCGGATGCTGGCAGTGGAAGCCGGAGGAGCAGTGGGGGGGGTCCCTCCCCAGGGGCTGGGGAGGGCCCCCCCAATGCTACCACATCCATACTCTGTAAGCCCTTAGGCACTGGGGGTTGGGGGAGAGCCGAGAGAAGGGAGAAACATGGTCCCCACTCATGAACTGATGGGGATAGAGGACCCTGGACATAGGACTTTCCTAGGGGAGCATGGGCAAAGGTTAGAGTGGGGGGAAATGGGGCTGGGATATGGGGAACCGGGGGTGAAGACATTATAGGTAGGGACAAAAGTGGGTCCAACAGTAGCCAGCTGGGGAATATTGATTTACTCATTCAACAGGCCCTCAGGAGGTGCCCTCTCTGTGCTCAGGACTATGCCCAGCTCCCAGCCTCTGCCACCAAGAGGGCTCAGTCTAGTAGGCTGACCTCTCTGTCAGCAGGTTCAGGGCTGGGGCTGTGGGAATGCCTGGGAAAGGGAGCTGTGCGCAGCAGAGGGGCCCACCCTGGAGACCTGAGCTCAGTGGCTCTGACCAGGTGGAGGAAGGGCTCCTGCAGCAGACTGTGACCCTGCCTCCTCCCCGCAGCTGGCTTTGGGGGCATCCTCGGCCTGGGCAGCCTGGGTCTGGGCTCCGCCAACTTCATGGAGCTGCAGCAACAGATGCAGAGGCAACTGATGTCCAATCCTGAGATGCTGTCGCAGATCATGGAGAACCCCCTGGTCCAGGACATGATGTCTAACCCTGACCTGATGCGCCACATGATCATGGCCAACCCCCAGATGCAGCAGCTGATGGAGCGGAACCCTGAGATCAGCCACATGCTCAACAACCCTGAGCTCATGAGGCAGGTGGGTGTGAGAGAGGTGGGGTGGGGGTGTGCCTGCCCAGCCTTCCTTTCCGCACCTTGCCCTGCCTTGATTTGGTCATTCATTTGTTCAGCAGCCGTGTTTTGTACACTCGGGTCCAGTGATACAAAGACACAGGCCTAGCTTTTCAGGAACTCCTGGTCCTAAAGAAAAATGGGACAAGTGAGCCGACAATGATAATACAGTGTGATCGGTAATATCACACGGATAGTCCCAGGGTCCCCCAGGGGCACAGTGTAGGTCTTGAGTCTATACTCGAGCTCCAAGGAGGCCTCCTAGAGGAAATGTCACCCAAGCTGAGGTCCAAGGGAGGAAGCACGACCCAGAAGACGGACCAATGGACAGCAAGTGCAAAGGCCTGGGAGTAAAAGACAGTAAGGTATTCGGGGAGCATTGAGCATGGCCAGGGCCAAAGATCTGGGGATGGGAGTTAAAAGGTGTTGGTAGCATGGCCCCAGCTTGAATCCTTTCCCTCCTCAACATACCATTTACCAGGAGGCAGAGCTGGTGTTGGCCAGACAGACGAACCTGGCCTTGACAGCTGGCTCCACCGCTAACTGGCTGTGTGTCCTCAGGCAGTGAGTCTCTGAGCCTATTTTTTCTTCTGCAAAATAGGGACGGAGATACCTACTTGGGACCATTACTGTGGGGATTAAATGACTTGAATTCTGTAAATTAGTCCAACGCCTGTATGTAGTAGGTGCTCAAGAGATGTTAGTTTTTGTTTCTGCCTCCTCCCCTTCCTCATGTCCATTCTTACTCAATATCCTCGTGCTCCCTGACCCCTGACACCCCTGTGGGCCCCCTGAACCTGAAGGAGGGAAGCTGCTGCTGTGATCACTTCTGTGATCATTGTGTCTCACTGGAAAGAGCCAACTAGAATGCGCACAGGGAAGATGGTTGGAACCAAAATGACAGGAAGGAAGGAAGTCTAGTCAACCCTGTTCTCTACCGCAGTAGGCAGACCCTGGACCCTGGACCCTGGACCCTGGTCCTGATGCAGGCCTCCTCCTCAGGCCCACCCTTGGCAGGCTTGGGGCTCCCTGGTTCTAGGGCCCATTCTGTCTCTCTGCCTTCCCCACCAGACGATGGAGCTTGCTCGAAATCCAGCCATGATGCAGGAGATGATGCGGAACCAGGACCGGGCCCTCAGCAACCTGGAGAGCATCCCTGGAGCGTAGAGCGCCCTCCGCCGCATGTACACTGACATCCAGGAGCCCATGTTCAGTGCTGCCCGGGAACAGGTGGGGCCAGGGGCTGGGGCGTTAGGTGGGTTGTCTGGCCAGAGATTCCCAACCTCCAGACCCAGGAGAGCCTGGGGTGCTGTCTGCTCCTCTTTCTAGTCCCACCCTCCACCCCTGAGGGTGGGGCTTGGCTGGGAAATGGTTCCCATAATGCATAGTCAGGGATGGTCCAACTTGGCATGGGGCTGAGGCACTAGGGCAGAATGTAGCAGAGTTTCCCAGGGAAGTGGGTGAGGCATAGAGCCCAGGGATTTGATGTTGTTCTGAAAAACTTTTGGTACCAGGGGCTCAGAAGTTGTGGGTCAGACCTGGAGTCAAACAGAAGGGATACAACCTTCTAGAAGTGGTATCATGCTGTTCATATAGTTTTTAACTGTCTCAAGTGTGGTCCCTAGATCACCTGTGGTAGAATCACCTGGGGAGCTTGTAGTGATGAGATTCCGGGTCCCCACCTTTGAGCTACTAAATGACTCACTCTCTGGAATCAGCCTCTGGGAGGATGCACTTTTAAACTTAAAAAAAAAAAATCTTTTTAATTGATTTTAGAGAGGAAGGGAGAGGGAGAGAAAGGTAGAAACATCAATGAAGAGAATCATTGATCTCCTGCCTCCTGCACGCCCTCTACTGGGGATTGAGCCCACAACCCACAACCTGGGCACATGCCCTCCGGGAACCTAACTGTGACTTGGTTCATAGATTGATGCTCAACCACTGAGCCACACTGGCCAGACTGGGAATACGCACTTTTGCACTTTATTATTTTTTTTTAATATATTTTACTGATTTTTTACAGAGAGGAGGGGAGAGGGACAGAGAGCTAGAAACATCGATCAGCTGCCTCCTGCACACCCCCCACTGGGGATGTGCCCACAACCAAGGCACATGCCCTTGACCAGAATCGAACCCGGGACCCTTGAGTCTGCAGGCCAACGCTCCATCCACTGAGTCAAACCGGCCAGGGCACACTTTTGCACTTTAAAAATGCTTTATGAATTCTTTCCAAATGTACAACAAATATAGATAAAAATAGAGCATTCTGTCGTATCCATGTTGCCCTAAGATGTTGCCATATATAGTTTTAGTGCCTCTTTTGGTTCTTTTTTTTTTTTAGTTTCATTTACATCAAATACATTACACATTTACATGTTTCAAAATTCAAAAGGTACACAAAGTAAACAAAGGGGCATTTAAAAAGCATGGAAAGGAATATAAGCTCAATAAGTTATGCAAAAGGGACCCTATTTTCTTCTCCGACCACTTCTTTCTTACCCCAAGTTAATGAATGTTGTTAATATTTTGAATATTTTCCTGTACATATTTAATATTTGCAAATAAGACATTACAGATAGAATAGCAGCCTTCTCTATGGTTTTCTTCCTTTCTCTAGAGCTAAGTACCACCCTGAGGCTGGTGTTTGTCATTTTGATTCTTTGATTACCTATATATGTATCCATAAGTAATCTATAGTTTTGTTTTGCATATTTTTCAACCTTCTAGAAGTGGTATCATGTTGTTCATGTAATTTTTAACTTGCTAGTTGCAGGCCATTTTTAAAAATATATTTTTATTGATTTCAGAGGAAGGGAGAGGGAGAGAGAGATAGAAACATCAGTGATGAGAGAGAATCATTGATTGGTTGCCTCCTGCATGCTCCCTACTGGGGATCAAGCCCACAACCCAGGCATGTGCCCTTGACCGGAATCGAACTTGGGACCCTTCAGTCTGCAGGCTGACACTCTATCCATTGAGCCAAACCAGCTAGGGTGCTTTTTAAACATTTTTAAAAAGTTTTATTGAAGGATAATCAGTGACAGAAAGGTGCACGGAAGTGTACAGCTTGATGGATTTCCACAAACTGAACACCCTCCCGCAACCAGTGCTCATTTGGGAGGGAGGCTATCACGCGATTTTTTCCTTGTGGAAAGGAAAAAGCACCATGTCCGGAGTGGCCCATGGTATCCAATAGATTCCTCGTTCCTGCTGCCTCTGTCCTACACCAAGTCTCCACAAATGAGTGTATGTCTTTCTGGCTCTGCTCAGTCCCACTGGTCTGTCTGTCTGTCTTTGCAGTGCTACCACATTGTCTTATTTAAGCCTTAGCTTCCTCATTTCCAAAATGGAAGCAATATATTATAGCAGAAGTTTTCAATCATTTTGGTCTCAGGATCCCTTTATACTCTTAAAAATTATTGAGGATCCTCAAAAGCGTTTGTTTTTATGGGTTAGATCTGATATTCACTGTATGTAAAATTAAAACTAAGAAATTTTTTAAATGTTTATTAATTCACTTAAAAATAACAATAAATTCATTACATTAACATAAATAGCATATTCTTTTGAAAAAACTTTATTTTCCAAATCAGAACTTTAGAGGAAA